GTTACCTTACCTTCCTTCCCTCCTCCTCCCTCCCTCCCCTCCCCTCCCCTCCCCGCCCCTCCCTTCCCCTTCCCCTCACCTCCCCCCCCCCCCTCCCCCGCCCCCTTCCCTTCTTAAACTTCATCCTCATATGGTTTCGGCAGGGGCTCGCACGTGGTTTGAACGAGGACATCCAGATCGTTCGAAAGGTACTTCCGTTGCGCCGGCGTTGCATCACCGTTGACGAGCGTTTCAGTTCCTTGACGCCGGTCTGGAGTTTGCTGTTTGCAGCTCATGCTCGAAGGTAACGAGCTCTCCCCGATCGTTCTGTCTCTTATCTGCGTCAAGAACTTCGGGCTCTATGGCGAACGTGTCGGCAGCTTTTTGTTGCTTGTGAGACTCCGGAGATTGCATCGTGTGTAGACAGCAGATGCAAGCTGAAGATCAGACACAACTACTCGGTCCTCTACTCTCTACTCCTCCTTTTCTCCCTCCTTCTGCCTCCTTTTCCTTCTCTTCTTCTCCGAGCTCCCACCCCCTACCCGCCAGCCTGTTGTCATCTCTAGGACTCGTCTCTCCTCCTCCTCCTCAATCTCCTTCAATGTGCAAAATCACCTCCTCCTCCCCACCCCCCCTTCTCCATCCTTCGCTCCTCCCTCCTCCTCCTCCTCATCTCATTCCTCCATGCCTTCCAGGTCCCGCCATTGTTCGGAGCAAAGATCGTCAGCACCATCCTCTCAGGTACCCGATCCTGCCCCTCCTCCCCCTCCTGATCTCGCACAAGATCCCGAGCTGCGCAAGAAATGGGAGCAGGAGCTGGCCGAGACGCGCACAACCCTCAACAGGTTCAAGGGGACTCGGGACGCGGAGGGGGCAGGGAGTTGGGAAGGAGAGAGGAGGTGGTGGGGGAGAGGAAGAAGAGGAGGGGAAGAAGGATAAGAACGCGGGCGTGGAGGCAGTGCAGGATGGGACGGGGCTGAGAGAATGAGGTTCTGACGAGGATACGGCAGGGCTCATGCTGCGTTCGCTCAGGCGCTATCTAAGGGAGGTCTAGATTCAAAGTTCAGGTGCATCTCCTTTCGAGACTCTCGCCCTCCCTCCCCCCACCGGCGTTTCCTTTCCTCGTACCCTTGCTCCTTACCCCTGCCCCTCCTCTCTTCCTGCTCTCCCTTTTCCCCTCTACGTCACCGTTGGTATCTGTTACTCCCCTCCTTCCTCCTTCTCTCCCACCTTCGCCTCCCCTCCCTCTCTCCTCACATTTCTCCAGTGCTCCGAGATTCGGTCTCTTCACCCAACTCTACCTCAACGAGCAGCAGGTGCGTCCAGCCTCTCCACGACGGTGCTAACGCGGCGCAGGTGCTTTCACTGGAGAAGGATCACGCGTGCTATGTGGCTCCCGGAGGACGAGTCAACGTCTCGTCCCTAGACGAGCAGGTGAGGGAGGAAGGCAGACTGAAGATAGAGCTTCTCCTCCATCTCTTTCCTGCTGTTGGTGCTGACGGGAACGGTATCTTGCAGGCCGCGGCAAGTGTAGCAAACGCTGTGGTTCAAGTGTTGAAGAGCACCTGATAGGAGGGGAGGAGATTTCTGATGATTTTTTTTGTGTGTGTTTTTGTTTGAGAAGCCCAGGATGTCGATAGCGACATGTTTGTGAATAAACTTCGTCTTGCTCCTTCTCTCTTCACGCCTTGCCCTGTCACTTCAAACTAAATTTATGATATAAGAACAGGACGATCAGCAATCTCCGCCTCTTCGTCTCTCGCATTTCAATATCGGATGCTCTCATACTCCTCCTTCTCACGCAGGAAGCGATCTCGGTCCTCCTTCGCCTTTTCCTCCCACTTCTCCTTCTCAGAAGGATCCTACACAACCATCACAACCAGGGGCACACATGCGTCACCGTACCAGGTCCTTCCATTTTTGGCCCAGCTCCCTAAGGATGTCTTTCATTGGCATTTCGGGATTCGCCTGTTCGGAGCGCGTCACCTCCTCCTCCTCCTCTCCCTTCCACTTCGCCTCAGGCTGGTCTCTACCTCCCCTCTGTCCCCTTCCTGACTCTCTCCCTCCTCCCTGTCCTCTTCCTGTCTCTCTTCCTCATGCTCTCTCACCTTGCGAAGATCCTCCCTCACACTATGGCACCACAGCATGTATGCGTTCTGACGAGTCGTTAAAGCCAACAAGAGTCAGTAATCGACTTTACCTGTCCCTTCTTCGGCGCGTTCACATCCTTCACTCGCCTCCTCTTGCCCGTGTACTCAGGCTCGTCGTAGACTCTCCTGTTGCTGCATTGGCGTCATGGCCGGGCCCTTAGCTTCCCCCTCATGACTCACTAGTACACGTCGCCGCATTCAGCCTCGTACAGAGCTTTCTTGCCCTTGTACTCTTCGAAACGCTTTGCTGCTTCCTCCTGCCCGCACTGAGTTAGCAACAGGGGAGAGGAGGAGGTCGCACAAACCTCGAAGGGCTTCTTCTCTTCCTCCGTCAACGCCTTCCACTTCCCCGCGATGACTTTGTTGATCTCCGTGAAGGCAATTTCTGCCGATACCGTGAGATGCCTGTGCCCTCCTCTTGGCATTCACATCACCAGGGTTGTCCCTCTTCACTTCATCGCGCTTCGCTTCACAGAACAGCAGCCATGCCGACATAGGTCGCTTTGGGCGACCACCAGACATCCTCTCAAGACTTCTGCGAGCCCCAGGCCAAGAGGTAAGTTTCGAAGGTGATAGTGAGAGGTGAGAAGAGAAAGTCGAGTGGTTAGATTGATTATCATACCATCTTGAAACAAAGAATGATGTACCTCTTACACCCTACACATTATCTCTCTACTACATTCCTGTACTTCTAATTCGCTCGCTTCATTCATGTACTTCTAGTTTGCTCAAATCACTTCCCCATCATCTGGCCATGCTATCACATATTTCATTCTGTCCTCCGTCCTCCGTAAAGAATCCCTCCAGTAATTCAACTTCTTGAACCATCCTTCAATATTCAAACAACACGTATCACACCTAACATGTTTCCTTCCTACTGCCTGCTCGATTTGCACTGACCATAAAAGCCCGCAACTTCTGCATCGTCTGGTAGGCCTCACACCGCACAGCATTGCATCTACTGTCTGCTCTCATATCCATTTTGCTTCCTCGATCCATCTTGATCCAATGTTCTTCGTAGCCAGTCATAGGTTTTCGCCTCAATCACCAATAAACACTGCTCTCCATATCCATCCCCTGCTCCTTCAATCCAGCATCTTTCAACATATCCATCGCAACCACCATCATCGTCTCATCCCACTGCCCTATCATCCTCTGCATCTCACGGTTGCGATCGTTGTCGCCACCGTCTCCAACTCCACCATCGCTGTCGCCTGCTATACCCTGCATATTGGCCGCTGTATTTCCCGCCCACTCGGAACTCAATTTCCCCACAAGCGTAGAAACGCTGGGGTACGATTGAACTATATTAACTAAACTTAATTATACTAAATTTAGTTTATTACCAAATTTGTACATCAACTTAGCTGCATTGTGGTATGAAGGTGGGCGAAATTTGAAATTATTTTTGGAGAAAAGACCCTTGGTGGGAGAAGTCTCAATACATTCATTGGGTGGCGGGGGTGCGATTCCATGGCAACAATATATTTTCCCCGGGGGGTATCTATTCCTGTAAATTGGTAGATTATCATTAATTTGTGTGAAAAATTGGACAATTTTCTCATATAATTTTAAAAATTTGAAAAATCTCTCGAAAATATAGCAGTTGTGTGAAAATTTTAACATCCCTGTCCTGGCCCCTAAAAGTCGAAAGGTTGAGGAGGGGTGGGTACACACAATATATAGACAGGGGTACTTCAAAATGAGTTGGGGTGGAACGCGGAGTTTCACATACCCCAGGGTGGGTGGTTGATGCGGGGGGGTGGTGGTATAGTTGCCAAGGTAGTCCTTGGTCCAGACATTAGCGTTATGTTGTGAAGGTTGTAGAATTCAGAGGTGGTGGGGTAGGGTGTCAAAGCTGAACTGTAAGGGTAGGTGGGTGTATGATGGGTCAGGTGCTATTTTATAATCAGACAGCGGTGAAAACTTATAAAATTAGCTTGTCATTTGAAATTTTCTGATTATTTTGAAAATATTTTTTTGACCCTTTACAAGCTTTTGTTTTTCCTAAACCCTCTAAACCCTCTAAACCCCCTCCTTTGTTTGCTCCGGTTTGCCCTTCTTTTTCAGTCAATAAAGGATAATTTGTTTTTGGGAATGCGCAAGCAGAACAGTGGGATGGAAGAGAGGAGGAGAGGGGGAAGGGGGAGAGGGAAGAGAAGACAAGGGAGGGAGGGAGTGGTAGGAGGGAGCGTTGCTAGTAGGGTCAGGAGGAGGACGTGGAGGAAGCAGGAGGAGGAGGAATGAGGAGATCAGGGAACGGTGAACATCTTACAGCGCATGGCGGTAGGAACAGGTGGATGAATCAGGGTCAGGGAAAGAGGAACTGTGAATAAGTCTAGATGCAGCCGCCCACTCACCTCTGTTGTACAGGTTCAGGAGTCACTCGTGCGAGCTGGTGATCTTGTTATCATTATGGGTGTGCGAAAGTCTCTTCAGGTACCAATCCTCTCATTTGCTCCTTTGCCAGCCGCTGAAACACTCCCGCAGCCTTGGGAGATCGTCTTCCTCGTCGTGTTCTGGGGATCATTTACATGGTAACTCCTCTGCTTACCCTCGAAGCACCTGCGAATGATGTGCGATCGCGTGCTATGGTGAATCGTGGACATTTGCAGGTACATGAGCCAGTGGGACGGGGAGCTAGTCAACAAGACGTTCTTCTGGCAGTTCGTCTCGCTCTTCTTCTGGTGTTACAATCACTTAGGTACGCCCCTTGTTGAGTTCGGGGCTCACGTCTGCGGTGACTTGCGCCTGCTGCCGGCAGCTTCCTTCTTCGGGCTGCTGATGGCTATTGGAGGGCTGTACACAGCAGGGGGGCAGCTGATGGGGGGGATGGGGAGCTCGAAGAAGAGGAGATAGCACTTGTGCATTCAATATCAGCATCTTGTCCGATCCCTTTCTTCCCTTCCATGTCAACGCGCGCTCCTCCCCTCCCCAACTTTTCTCAGGCGTCCAATCATCGGGAAACAGGAGAACGGGGATCCCAAGAAGGGGATGAAGGACAAATGGAATGCTGAAATCGTGCCTGAGTTGGTTTTCTCCTCCTTCAGGCAGTTGTTGCAAAACCTGCCAAGGTTCTGTTGCTCTTGAACCAGTTCAAAGATGGATGATAATATGCTCTTGACCCGGCCTGACCTATCGGAATCCAAGCAGGCGCTGTTTCTTCTCGGCAGGCATGATAGCTGGATGACAGGTGTGAGTCATCAGGGGATGGAGAGGGGTAGATGCCAAGGATCATCGAAGGGACAGGATGAGGTGCTGGGAGTGGTGCTGGGAGTGGGAGTAGTTACCTGATGCAGGCTGTTCTCTCAAGAGCTCCACGAAGCTATTCCACTCATCTTGACATTAAGAAAACATTCGGAAGGAGACACGAGACACGAAAAACGTCAGTCATGACATCGGCAGAGGACAAGAGAATTACTGAGGTCCAAGGCCCCGTCTTGGTTCCTGTCCGCTTGTTGGAAGAGAGATAGCAGTCTGCATGATGTCAGAGTCGGTCGGTCGCATCCAAACTCGTCACAATGTCTCATCGGGGCGGTAGCCCAGCTGCTGGATGGCTGCGCGTATCTGAAAGGAAGGAGAGGAGGAGAGTGAGCGGGTGGTGTACAGTGCTGCTTCAGCATTGTTGAGTGTCCTGTCACCTCTGGAAGCTGCAGGATCCCATCACGAGAAGTGTCAGCGAGGTAGAAGATCAATCTGCTGTTCTGCTGGATCCTCTCTCGCGTGCTGGACTGCGTCCGCTGTCAGACCTGGCGGGCACTGGCAACCAGCCAGCACACCGCATCCGCCGGCCCGATGGGAAGGAACTTGGCTGAGGACGATCTCGCTTGAGCATACTGCCATCGGTTTGAGTGGAGGAGGAAGCAACTTTCGACTTGTCAGACCTTCAGCTGGCTGGTGCTTGCCAGGTGCGCGTCGATGAGCGTGTAGGCATCGTAGATGGCGTGCACCCCCGCCGGAACCTGTCAAGGAGCGTCCAGTCAGACGAACTTGTTCTTCTCACTATCACAGAAGGAAGTCCGGAAGGTCTGACCAGGAAGTTGTATCCTGACAGGATGTAGAGCACGCCGAACCAGAGTCCCGTCAGGATCTGAACAGGTTGGAGCATCTCACCATCTCACACCGGCTGCCTCGAAGACGATACGTACCTGTAACGGGACAACAACCGAGTTGTCTTTCCAGCTCCCGCCGATGGACCAGTGGGCCAGCCCAAACACCAATGAGGATGCCAGCAATCCCAGCAGAACGTTCGGATCTCCAGCCTGTCGGACACAGGTACAAGCTCAACCACAAACGTTTCATCGCCAAGATTGCATACAAGACATGTGCAAACTGAGTACGCAGGACATATTCTACATAGAACATGTTCTATCTTCTACCTAGACGATCATGTTCTGCAGGCATGTTCTATACACACGTAGGACAAGACATGCTCTCCACACCTCTCCCAGCCTCTTGGCCAGAATCGGCAGACCCAGGGCGCGGAAGGACAGTTCTTCGCATAACCCGGTAATTGCACCAAGTACCGACGAGACCCCTGGAGCAAGTTTAGAGGAGCGAACGCTATGTGACACGAGTCAACCGAAGGCAAACGGGATGTTCTCCTTGGATCCGAACAACTTGAGCGCAAGTATGTTGGTAGAGAAGTTGATGTCGATGAAAGCCTTCGACTCCGACGTAGAGATTTTGTTTCCCAGGAACAAGATCGGGAACGAACCGAGCACGATCAGGATCAGAGGGAGGATGCCGACTCCTGCGTTTCCTAGGGCTGTGATCGTATCCTCGTACTGAAGTGTCTGGATGGTAAACAGTGATGTCACCCCTAGCAGAGCCTGATTCCTGTCGCATGTTGCAATGAATCCCAACCCTCCACCTCCCCCCTCCCCACAAACAAACACCTCAAGAGGCTCCAAGCGAGGAAAAGATTGCCCGACTCCATAACTTCGGCAGAGAAGTACGCTGCCCCCTTCTCGCTGTCCTCTGGCTGTTATGAGAAGAAGGTGAATGTGACCTTCATAGAGCCTCTCCTCCACAAACCTTCACGTTGCAACGCGCTCCTCCGACCAGCGAGCGACCACGGCGGATGCGTTTGAAACACGATGGCACCGGAGAGGAACGGGAGCAGCGATTGTTTGCTCTGATCCCTGGAAGATGCTTGCAAGGGGAATGGGAGAAAGCCGCAGGAGCGAGCAAGAATGCGAGATCCGCGATGTGGAACATTGGTGAGGAGGATGGGGACGAAGGGGATAGGAGAGAGAGAGAAGAGGCCTGGGAGGACCAGGAGCGTTGGAGGAGGGAGGAAGACAGAGCGGGAGATATGATCGTGCGGGGCGAGGATGAGGGTTTGGCTGGCGAGGCAGCTGCCCAGGACGCAGCGGCCAGCACCATGGCGTGTGGGTACAAAATGAGGGAGGTGCAAGGGGTGGTATAATCGGGCTAAATGACGAGTTTAGGGGGTAGGGTACAAATCTGTATGGGGTGGGTACTGAAGCTGGTATTCAAGGGGTAGGTACTGATTTTGACTGAAAAGTTCTTTGCTAGTCAAACGGCTCAGGATGTATGGCAACCAACCGGAGAGAAAGGAGGGAGAGAGGGAGAGAGAGAGGATGGGAGGGAGAGAGGGGAAGGGAGGGGAGGGGAGGGAGTGAGCGAGTGAGCGAGTGAGCGAGTGAGGGAGAAGAGTGAGCGAGCAAGCGAGCGAGGCAGGGAGGGAGGGGGAGGGAGGGAGGGAGGGAGGGAGGGAGAGGAGGGAGGGAGAGGGGAGGGAGGGAGGGAGGGAGGGGAGGGAGAGGAGGGAGGGAGAGAGGGGAGGGAGGGGAGGGAGGGAGGGAAGGAAGGGAAGGGAAGGGAGCGGGGTAACGAGGGAAGGAGAGAAGGAGGGAGGGAAGAAGGGAGCCTGGTTCAGAAAGACAGGCAGGAAGAGAGGCAGGCAGGAAGGAAGCCCGGGCGGCAGGGAGACACCGCAGGAGCAGCAGGAATGGCAGGCACTAAAGCCGAGCGAGGAAGGCATGGAATTCAGGGAGCGAGGGAGGTCAAGGTGACAGGAGAAAGTGGAACGGGATAGATGTAGAAAGGAGGACAGTGACTGGAGGGGTAGGAGAGTGCAGACTTGCATTGTCTAGCTGCATGAAATGAGAAAATCTGGCGATATCGATCCTTGATCAGATCTGTTTTCTGCTTGAGTCGTTTGCATTCGTTAACATCATCGTGACAGATCGTTTTCTGTTGTTTGCGATCGCTGAAGGATTCCGACTAATCACGTTGCGTACGCAAATTCCTGCAGAGCTATAGTTTGATTCCCCTGCGTTCAACTTATATGACTCGACTCTGCGCTGGTTGAAGCAGAGACTAAGGGGCTATCAATTTGTTTGTTGCCATGAACATCTACAAGACAAGTCAGTGATTGATCCAGCCTCCTTTCCAACTATCCCTCGTAACTTGCAGTTTCTTCAGAGCGTGACAGCGATCCGCTGAGGAGGAGGCCCAAAAGTGCTTCTCTACACGCCTCCGGAGGCGAGCACAAGGTGAGGAAGAAGGCGCTCGATGCTGACGGCGGAGGCTGATGGTGACGTGAGAAGAGCCTGCGGCCGATCTCTGCCGGCGCGAGGATCTGGAGCGGAGGATGGGTGTTTTCCCGGCATCGGTAGCCTGACTGGAGGTTGTTGGGGGAGTAGTTTGACGTCAGAGGACGTAGATGCTTGTTCGGGGATATGCAGGTGAAGACTCCACGGGAGGTGGACGAGGGTGGGGAGTGAAGAATTTGACGTGCGGCCGTTGAGATTGTCGCAGCTGCGCTGAAGGCCAGGGAGAAGCCGCGGGCACCTGGGATCCCGGCGGACAAGTGGGAGAGAGGAGGAGGAGGAGGAGGAGGGGATGGGAAGACTGATCAGCATGCTTCAGAAAGTCTGTGCGACCAAGACCTTGGCTGAGGCCGCAGACTGTATGAGATGAAGGAAGACGCGGGGAGAGATACTGATGAAGTGCAGGCGCCTTTGGGAGGGAAATCGTTGGAGGGTGATCAGGTGAATGAGGAGAGAGGCAGGAGGGATAGGACAGCAGGACAGAGGAGAGGTCGGCATGGGAGAGGCAAGGCAAGTCAAGGCAAGAAGAGGGAAGGGAAGGGGAGGGAGAAGAGGGGAGAGGGAGAGAGGGGGGAGGGGGAGGGAAAGGGAGGGATGGGGAAGGGGGGAGAGGGGAGGGGAGGGGGAAGAGGGGAGGGGAGGGGAGGGAAAGGGGATTGAAAGGAAGGGGGAGGGAGAAGAGGATTCTTGACAGGATGCTCAGCCAAGAAGGGCCGCGAGTGCAACGAAACGAGTCAGTTACGCCTTCAGCGACCCGGACAAGAGCTCGCAAGAGCAGAAAACCTTGACGGTAGAAGTTGAAGACGCGACAGACCTCTCCCTCTCCCTCAACGGCAAGACTACAAGGGAGGACCTTGACATCGCTCCAGGTGCAGCGGAGGGAAGACGCTATGATTCCTGACGACGCCTGCTGCACCTGCTTCAGATGTAGTGGAGACTGTGGAGACAACAAAGTCGAATGTCATATCCTTCGACGACCTTGAGACCAAGAGCAAGCAGCCATCGTTGCTCATGAAGAAAAGTTTCACGCTCAACGACCTCGTTCGCAAGACGAGGAATGTAATGTCCGCCAGGAAGCTGATCTCCGACAAGCCTCAGTCTACATGTCAGTCTGCTGTGCTTCCGTGTTGTCTTGTCCATTAAGACTGCTCCTGCCCTTATAGCCCCGCGAGATCATTACGGTGAAGAAGCTCCGCACGCGTGGTACTGTAAGATATGCGGGTAAGGAGGTGGGGAACAACAAGAGAAAAAGAGGAGCGGAGCGAAGTGGAGGAGAGCGAAGAGGAGAGGAGAGGAGAGGAGAGGAGAGGAGAGGAGGGGAGAGGAGAGGAGAGGAGAGGAGAGGAGAGGAGAGGAGAGGAGAGGAGAGGAGAGGAGAGAAGAGCGAGCAAATCTGTTCGGTGTACATGATAGTTAAATGGCTCTCGTGTTTTGACCAGAATCATGCCGGACTTCTGATTGTATTGCTCGCAGTCAAAACGGCTCCAAGGTGAAATGGTGGTGCCGGGAATGCCGGGCGCATCTCCATACGAGCTGTTTTGCTTCTTGGCATGAGATCTTGGAGGAGAGGAAAGAAGCGGAGGAGAGGTGAGGAGAAGAAGAGAAATTGATGACAAGACCGAGATGAGCATGTTTGATGGAGAGGACGACGAAGACGAGGAGGGAGGGGGGAGGGAGAGTGATAGGGAAATCAGACAAGAGATGAAAATGAGGCAAGAGAAAAGAGAGCAGCAGCAGCAGCAGCAGCAGCAGCAGCAGCAGCAGGAGGAGGATGAAATCAAGTTTTAACATATCGGCAGCGTGTGGGAGGCGAGTATTCCTCATCGTCATAGTCAGACATCTTATGACAATATCTTCGTCGGTAACAATCAGCAAACTTCCTATCGCCTCCTCCCTGATATCAACCCCGACACAGGCGGGCAGTTGAGCTACGGGAAGACGCCACGAGCGATCCGACGATATGGTGAGACATGTTGCTATGATGCCATGAGCGCGCGTGAAAGAAGCTGAGCTCTCTGCGAACAGAGCAAATGGAGCTGAACAAGTCACCGTGGAAGCTTCCAGTGGATGAGAGCTCGCTACTCGGTAAGGAGCTGTGAAGAGTTAGCAAGGAGCTGACTGTAGGGAAACCATGCAAGATACGCCGAATGTGAACAAGGAGACTGTTTCGCTGGTGAACGCGCACATGAGAGTTATGGTGACTTGTGCTGATTGCTCTCTTGTTTGACAAGCTGATGTGTTTTTAAGCAGCACAACAATGTGGTGTCGACCAAGACCATGAAAGGGAAGTTTCTTGAAGAAGGAGATCTCGACGGAGCTCCGCAGGTGAGATCTGAGGGAAGTGAAGTGTTAGTACACGTCATTGCCATGACGTTTGAATCATGTTACATATAGATAAATTGTTGATATGCAACGATGGTGTTGACGTTGATTGACATGCACCGGCAGGAGAAAGACGAGGAGAAGAAGGATGATATGTGAGATACTCATATTCGTTTTCCTCCTCCTCCTCCACTATCACCACCACCCTACAATATCCTCCTCCTCCCTCTCCCTCCCCTCCTTCTCCCTCCTCCTCCCTCTCCTCCTCCTCCCTCTCCTCCTCCTCCTATGACAAGAATGAGCAGAGTGGAGCTGGAATCGTCTCAATCAGAGTGGGACAACATAGTCAGGACGCCGTCAGTCGCGACAGACATTCTGGGCGACACAACTGACCTCAAGGACTTCTCGAGAAGGTTTGCGGTGGGATGATGAAAGCGGCATTGTCCATGATTTTCCTTGCAGCTCAGTGACTGTCATTGCGCGTGTGACAACTGTCATGAAGAGATTGAGGGGTGAGCGAATCTCAACTCGCTGTGATGTGATGAAGCTTTCAGTCAAGTTCTTGTGGTGTCTTGTTTGTTGTTTGACATGACTCTACCCCTTCGTCTCCAACCTTGTCATCTCCTCCCTATCAAACTCTTCCCATCGCCTTCATGTTGTTTTATACATCCAGTTCCTTTTCTCGTCTTCAAGGCCTCTACTAACACCAACTCCTGCTCCTGCTGCACTTCCCTTCTCTTCCTGCTGCTGCTGCTGCTCCTCCTCCTCCT